CTCTCTGTGTATCTCCTAGGATTCTATCTCATGGCTATTTGTTTACGAAAGCTGTGCCACTTTCCTCACTTCTTTTTATACTTAGTACCTGACATGGTATTTAGCACATTAGACATTACACTCAGTAAATGCTTTTTGAATGAATTGGGGCTTATTCCCCAAAAATTACTCTTATTTTTTTCCTCTATCACCTACAGAAGTTACTCAGTGATGATGGTCTCTAGATTTATTCATTTAATTGGCATTTAATGAGAGTGTACTCAGAGCCCTGCCCTAGTCATAGATGTCTCTGAGTCTCCTCTCTTGGAAGAGGGCCCTTGCTGAAAGAAAATTCTGACACTGCTTAGAAGATGAGTCCCGCTTATGAGTGTGATTACTTTTTTTTTTTAAGATTTATTTATTTATTATTTATTTATTTGAGAGAGAGTGTGTGTGAGCAGGGGGACAGGCAGAGGGAGAGAGAGAATCCTCAAGCAGACTCGTCTTCTGAGCATGGGGCTGGAAACTGGGCTAGATCCAAGGACCCCTGGGATCATGACCTGACCAAAACCAAGAGGTGGCCACTTAACCAACTGAGCCACTCTGGCGCCCCTATGCATGTGATTTCTTGCTTGGAGTATGATTTCTTGGTTGGACTATTATTCCTTGCTTATCACTCTAAGGCTTCACACCCTTTACCTCCCACTGTGAGGAACATCCTGCTAGGGATGCACTTTGCCTACACTATTTTAAAGCTGTGAAAGGCTTTTAACTTCAAATTCTACAGATACATAAAGTCAGACTCACAGAGAGACTAAGAAGAGTCTGACAGCTCTGTAGTAAAACAGCATCACTGTACCTTGCAGTATTCCTTGTATTAAGAAAGATAGCTTTGGGGCGCCTGGGTGGCCCAGTTGGTTAAGCGACTGCCTTCAGCTCAGGTCATGATCCTGGAATCCCGAGATGGAGTCCCACATCAGGCTCCCGGCTCAGCGGGGAGTCTGCTTCTCCCTCTGACCCTCCCCCCTCTCATGCTCTCTCTCTCTCTCATTCTCTCTCTCAAATAAATAAATAAAATCTTAAAAAAAAAAAAAAAGAAAGATAGCTTTGTCCTAAAGGTCAAACTTCTAACTTCATATTCATCTTACATTTTAGTGGGTTTTGGTGGGGTTTTGATTATTTTGTTGTTTATGGTGAGGAAGTGTCATTCTGAAAATAAAACTGACTTCTTACCCCTAGTAGGGGGGCACCTAAAAGAACTGCCAGTGTTTGGGATGATGGTTTACTTGGTTCTATTCATTCTTTGCTTCTTGCATCTGGACCACCTCAAATTTGTCCATCTAATTAATCTTCTCAAGTGCTTGTATGTTAACCACTCAGTTAGCTGACCTTATCTTTCAACAGTGCTGTTCATAATATATTCAAAAACTCTTCCTAGATAGTTTTCTTCACTGTCGAATACCTCCTTTACATACGGGCCCCCTTTGCTCACATATTTATTGTCTTCACTCCAGGTGTTAATTTTATACTGGTAACTTGTATGGTATAAAGTATTGGATTAGTATTCCTAGTCAGAATGTTTATTTTGGTGAATGTATATATGCTGATGAAAATATTCTATTAACTGACCAATGCTTCTAACTAGATTTTTGATGGCGAGGCAAATGTGTACAGCTCCTTTGGGGGCTACTTCTCAGTTGACAGGGCGGGATAAGTGATAATGGAATAGGAATACTAAGGCTTAGCATCATTTCCCCCATTTTATAACTTGCAAATTCTTTCTCTTTCAAAAACATTTACAATTTTACCGCTTTCGATCTTTATCTTTGAATTTTATGATAGCCCTCATTCCCGCTTTCAAACACCACCTATTCTACTCATGCATCTCCCAAACAATAAAGGTCTTTCAGATTTTTCCTTTGTTCCCTTCTCCCTCTGTGCTTTTGCTGAAGATAGTGCTTTTTGTCCCCATGTCTGACCAACATATACTACCTTCTCCAAGAAAACTCAAAATCATCCCAGTTGGAATTAACCATTATGACCTTTCTCATAGAGACATATTGCCATCCTATTCATATTTAATTATTTATATAGCTCTGCAGCAAACATCAAATGACCTTTCAAGTTAGGTGACTTGAATTCGGGTTCCAATTCTACCACTTACTGAATGATACCTCTTGGCCTAGTCACTGAATCTTAATTTTTTCTATCATATGAGGTAATAATAACTAACTCAAAGAGTTATTAAGAGAACCAAATGAGATAGCATACATAAAAATGATTTGTAAATGAAAAAGCCCCAGGTAAATGTTAGATAATCTTAGATTTGAATTAAAACATGGAGCACATAGGAAGGTGTAGATAATGTCTTACCCATTACTATAAATTCCTCAGTGCTAACACTGTACTTTGCTTATATGAGTAGATGCCAAATGAGTTGATTTGATCATGAATTTCTTGCCAGATACAAAAAGGATAAAATCAACCTGTTTGAAATACGCACTTATAAAATATTTGCCTTATGCTTATATAGCTTGAGTATTTATAGCATCACTAGATAAATGTGGCTTTCTTGAGCTTATGATTAAAGTTAATACAAAACCATGTTTATTGCTACATCTTAAACCTTCAGATATGGAGACTTCTTTATTTAGAAAGTGTGCAAGAATAGAATATCATCAGACATTGCTTGTATTTTTAGTATTTCTAATAAAAAACAGTGGAATTTGCGTACTTGTTTTAATAAATACTTTTGTTAACACCTAGAAATACTTCCAACCAAAGTGATTGTGTAATATTTGAAAGTTGATAAGTCTTCCAGAATTGCCCCTGCTTGTGTTCTCATTGTCAAGGTTAGATTTTTTTTTTCTTTTTAAGGAGAATCCATTAGTTCATTCTGTTTAAAACTAATTAGGCAAAACACACTAATAAAGGGGTGTGGATCTATGAAGTTGAAATCACAATGGCCATACTGTTTGCAAATTGCAATTTTGCTATCCTTGTTAATTGTCATGTCTTTTGAACAAAACATTGATGGAACATTTGTTTATATTTTCTGTATGGTACAATTTGTAAAAATTATGAACATTCTTGTTACATAGGAGTTTTTTAGAAGTTCATTTAAAATATCAGTCTGAGAAATTAATGCAATTGCATGTTTTTCCTAATTTTTACTTTAAGTTGTTATGTATTTAAAAAATTCTAGGGCGCCTGGGTGGCTCAGTTGGTTAAGCGACTGCCTTCGGCTCAGGTCATGATCCTGGAGTCCCAGGATCGAGTCCCACATCGGACTCCCTGCTCAGCAGGGGGTCTGCTTCTCCCTCTGACCCTCTTCCCTCTCATGCTCTCTGTCTCCCATTCTCTCTCCCTCAAATAAATAAGTAAAATCTTAAAAAAAAAAATAAAATAAGTAAATAAAAAAATAAAAAATTCTAATACACGGAATAAATATATGGTAATTCTTTATATAGTCATCCTTTATTTAGCCTGCAAGTCTAAAATCTAAATTGATATGGAGTACGAGTCATAATTACGGTTCTTTTGCTATGCATAGTCCTTTGGCCTTTTCCTTAGTTTTTCTTTGTCAGAATTTCAAATAGTTGAGTAGCCAACAGGTGATAAATGTCCCATTAATCTTTTTGACTCTCTAGCTCCTGAGCATGAGAATTGCTGATCAATTACAGCAATTGTCTCTTAAATGAGCTTTTCACATCTGCCTCTTATTTCATTAGTTAACTGTCTGCCCAAAGATCTGATAAGATGGAATACTAGTGCCTTTTTACAGCTTTTTCTGTCATGTGTACAATAAGGATAGGGTCGTTAGCAGGGTGGGCACAAAAGGGTATTTATCCACTACCTACAATAAATATACATGCTAGAGCCTAGAAGGCATTTGAGACTATTTATTGAAATCACCTTAAGAAGAAAAAACTGGTTTCACTTCAACTTTCCGTTTAGCAACAACTAATGTAAGACCATGGCATTTCTTGCTATCCAGTGCTTTTACTGATTACTTTTGTCCTCACTGAAAAGAAAAAACAAACATTAATTTTCTTAAAAAGTGAAAAATTTTAAAACTCTTTTTTACGTTAGTAAGCATCATGATTTTATACTCTCAACCTGAGATTGTTCTTAATCCTTAGTTACATCTTCCTCCATTGTTGGCACTTTAAGAAAAACTACCAACCATGATCTGCTTTCTTGCTTTCTTATTACATGTTATTCAGCAGTCATCCTTTAGATTGGGAAATGTCTTGATGAATAATTAAGGTTTAAACTGTTTATAGGAAGAATATTTTCTTATCTGTAGTATGGGTATAATAATAGTATGTAACGGAGTAGAAATAAGAATTAAATGACACTATGAATATAAGGCACTTAACACAGTGCCTAGCACACAGTAAGTGAACAGTGAGTAGTAGCCATTATTATGTACAAATTACAACATTTCATTCTTTTCTCTTCTGATGGCTGTTCAGAGACTTTGGAAACAGAACAGTGGAAGATTTTATAAACATTGTTTAACATATTAATTGTGTGTGAAATTCATTTTTTCATATTTTAAAAACATTTAACAACTGACAACCTATGGGGAGTTATTTATTTGTAAATTATTTTAATTTTGTTTTTTAGAAGAAAATTTAGGAAGATCTTCACTGATTATTGCTCCTTACTCCAGGAGATAATCACATAGGGAATGTAATTGGATTAAAAGTAGCTCTAACAAGCTCACCAATTCCGATAACTACCTTCCACTATTTATATATAAGAAATGCCTTGACCAAATAAATAACCCAAGCATAAAGTCAGTTTTTAGTATGTTTTCTACATCTTCTTGAATATCTGAATATTTTGAAATTAATGCCATAAAAAATATGTGTTAGTGAATGTTTCCATTTGTTTTATTTTAGGAGTTCTATTTTAAAGAAAGTTTTTGTAAATTAAAATTACATAATGAATTAACTTGGAATGATGATTTCTACCATGGTAATTTCATTTTGTTCAACCTTTCTTTGTTGCAGGCCTCGTTTGTATGAAATCTAGCACGTCTGTGGTTGAGCTTGTTATGCTGCTTTGTTCTCAGGTAGGAAATCTCTTTCACTGGATTACATTAAACTACATGAGGTTTTTTTTTTCTTGTCATTAGCAGTAGGATGCATGTGCATATATATATGTATATGTTTATATATTTTTAAAACTTCCATTTCTTATCCCATCGATGAAGAAAATAATTTAAGATATATTTTTATGCAGATGATCATACCATGTAAATATTGATTCAGTCTCCCTCTCCCTTCTTCCACTCTCTTTAGCTGTCTTATTCTTGCCCACCTTTCTATCCTTCTATTGTCCCCTATTTGCAAAAAATATATATATATCTCTATGTGTGTGTGCATATATATATATGTAAAATCTCTTATAGATCTTTTGATACCCTTCTTTACATTCTACCTTTTAAAAATGGTACAGTAGAATTTATAATTCTGACATTTATTATTACATGTTTTCTTCTATTAGATTACAGATAATGAAAACAAAGTCTTCTTCATGCAATAGCCGTAATATAAAATATAGCTCATTAGTGAGTGGTCTTTGATACAATACCTTGTTGCTTTCTTTTTTTAATGTAATTTGTATATTTTAGTGTAAATTCTAAAAATCTGCTTGTGCTGTTTATCTTTAATAATCAGATTATTTAAATAGAATTTGTAGTCGTTGGGTATTCTTTCTTCTTAGCAGTTACAAGAAACTAAAAATATATATATAACATTTTTCTGATAACTGAAATTAGGGACCCAGTGGTCTTTCTTCTTGCCAGCTCTGTCAAGTCCCCTAATGATCCTGATTTTCATATAAGTACTAAATATTTTGTAATGTGAGAACAAGAAAGACAGGTTATATATGTTTATAATAAGTAGTTATTACATTTATTCGTAGTTTCCTCAATAGAAAAATACATATAAACTGTTTCTAGTTACTGACCTTGAGGTCTGCCCAAAGCCGCAGCTAACTCCCAAATAAACAATATGGCTTCAATTGATCCTTTAAAATATTAGCAAACACAAAACAACCAAAACTTACCTATTGATTTCCAGTCTTCAGGTTTACTTTCTTCAAGAATATATTCATAGGGAAACCATTAGGTCCATTCCCTCCTTTTCAGCCGGGAAGAATATGAAGAATATTAATAAGGAAGAAGTTAAAGAAAACAGCATCCCTGGCAGGAGTTCATCTGCAGGGCGTTTGAGAATTGTTACCTAATGCCAGAGTCCTGAGTTCAAGAGACATTCTGAGAGATCTGTTGGGCCTTTTAGGTTCTTGGTGATGCACATTTATTTAATAAAAAAATGCTTTTGTGGAGAAAAAATTCCTTCTTCTTTAGCTCAGGGTTTTACTGCAGTTCTGAGAAATAAAGAAGAATGTAGCATTAGGGTCTAGTGTCTTTGATGGCCTCATCATCTAATCATAGGTTTAACATTACTCATTTGCTGGCTCCAGGAATTCCTGCCATTAAGGGCCCTAGAGATGAAACTTTGCCTCAGATATTGATTGAAAGGAAGAGTGAGAAATTTCAGCACTCTATGCAGTGCACTTTCTTTCAGTGTTTCGGCAAAGCAATATTATAAACATGTCTCTCGGTTTGATTTTTAAGTTGAATTTTTTAAATAATTCAGAGTGTATTTAAATATACAGTGGTTATATAGTGGTTAATTGATTAAATATACCTCATTTAAGTGACTACAAAATGTACATTTGTAAAAAATAGTTCCAGTTGTTTTGCTATTTTGTTAAACACTGAAGTGTTGCTTTCCACAAAATATTTTTAAAGATATAACTGAGTAATAATCTTTCTTTAATACAGTTCAAGTGGGAGGAATTTATTATTCTACTGTGAAATTAGCTTATAAAACCATCTTTGACAATCATTAATTATTCCATGGTTATATAAAATCTTGGTTTTACGGACCCACAAAAAAATACACATGCCTTTAAAATTTCTTAAAATAATCTGTCATTTTTCTCTACCACTCAAATTCAAGATGATCTATATCCTATTTTCATCCATTAGCAGGACAACCGTAGCAGTAGCAGACTTCTGATAAAGAAAAATAAATAAAGTTAATGATGCTGTGGAGCTTGCTTGGCCTAGCACTCTCCAAAGCTGGGTTCTCTTGTACAGGCCTTAATGCATCTCTTGGACAATGGAGCCGATCCCAGGAGAATTAGCAAAGTTTGTAGGGCTGTCTGTGCCAAGGCACAAGGCAATCCTGAGGAATCCTTAAAGCTACAGAGTTCTGAGTTGTCCTTTTGTTTTATCGTACAGTCAGCTTTTTGTAAATATTTATAGCTCTATGTTGTTATGATTTATTATAATATTTTGATTATATTATTAAAATTCCAATGTAAATGGAATTTTCCAGTTTATTTATTTACTTAAAATGTGTTTTTCTTTTTCCAAATTTAAATAAACTATTGAAGGATGAAATTTTGTTTGGAGAGACTAGGTAGCTAGGGGTTGAAAATGAAAAAAAATGCAACTTTTCTCTTAATATTTGTTTTTCATTTGCTACAATACATTAGATGCTTTTATTTTTATGCTTTTCATTTCGGAAATTTCATGTTAACGACTATTATTAAGGATATCAGTTTTTCTTCCCTTCTTATCTGAGCTCCTGAATAAACTTACTATTGCCACTGGTTTGTGTGCAAAATATGGTCTAAATTTACATGAGATCATATTACAAGTGTCTGAAGGTACTTGTCAAGGATAATTCATTTCATATGGACAGCCTTTTAAACTCCAAGGGACATGCCATCCAGTCTACCCCCCAGTGGAATTTTAGGTCTCTGTAGAGAACATATTTTAAGTTTTAAGAAGCTATTAGCATTATCATTATATTGCATTTATTGCTCCAGAAATACCCAAAATATTTTTACTGTATTTTGGATACTTTTCTTCTCCATGCAGATCTTACGACACAAAAATAAATCTTAAGAATTAACTATTAATTCTTCTTCCATTTAAATTTGTATTAAACTTGTACTTAGTATCTTTTTAAAAAAATGGTTTCTTGTCATTTGGATGTAAAATGAACAGAAATAAATTAAAATTAGTAAAATAATTAATATATACTGTTTTAACAAAATCATTGCTTAATCAGTTAAGTGCAGTGTCTCCTACAGAGTTCTTCACGTATCACAGGTCTGATACTTTCTTCTGTCAACCTTTTTTTTCTTTTTTTTATGTTTTGCAATCAGATTTGGTTGAGGTGCTTTATGTTATTCTATATGTGTGCCTTATTTTTCCATTACATTATTCTGAGTGTATTATGTTCTTTGATGAATAGCAGATTTAGTTTTCAAGTAAACTTTTTTAGGTACTATAATAGTTTCTAATTATTTCCAGATTTTTTTTTTTAGGAAGTCTCCATCAGAGGTACTCCAGGAAAAATTGAGTGATGTTATCCCACAGGATTTCTTTAAGTTTTCCTAAGTAAAGCTTAGCAGATGTCACTTGGATTTTTCTGTGCCTTATCTGTCAATAGAAAATGTTTTATAAATTGAGAAACTTTTATGTAAAACGTAATGTCTCTCAATATTCAAGTACTTTCTGACTTGAAGTACTGATTAAGCAAAAGGTATGCTTAATAAATCATTTTTATTCTCATTGGAAACCCCAAAATGTATAAGTAACATAAAATAGAAGTCAGCCTTCCAAGTGTCTTTAGGATTTGTGTATGAAGTTACTAACATGAATTATTTTGTGGTTTTGTTTGCCTTTATTTTTTTTCTAAATACTTCATATACTTAAGTAAAAAGGACTTTATTGACTTCACTGATGTAATCAAGGCTCTGACCCAGGACTTCTAAACACAGCACTTAAAAAAGAACCACAACTGAAGAACAGTCTCCTTCTTCAAATGATTTGGACTTTGAACTTTTAAATTTTTCATTTGTTCTCCAATTTGATAGTTTATTCAGATGGTACAAAGGAAAAAGCCATACTTTTCTTCTAACTATAATAAACCAAAAGAGGGAGGTAAAAAAAAAAAAAAAACATAGATGAATATGGAGACCTAGTAATGCATACTCATTCATGAGTACCAAGTATTGAAAAAAATTTGGGTGTGTATAGTGAGATTATAAGTGTAAGAAAACTAGAGATGGACTAGACTTTTTAAAAGCATCTTTGGAAATATGAAATCCTAGTTATCTGATGAAATTATGTCACATTTATTTAGTAACTGCTCTTTTATATTAGCATTGCGATGGTTATTGAAGATTTATTGATAACGTTCTTTCATTTCTAAAAGGAGTCTGGTGTTATCTGTGAAACTTTCCTGTTACATAGCTGAATTTGAAATCAATGACAAAAGAAATGTGACATGATATTTTAAGTTGAATATAATCAAATACTACATATGGATCAAAAAATTGGTCCTATGAAGCAACAATAAGACTTTTGTGGAAAGCTTTATTGAGATAGACGAAAGATGGACCCATTGCAGTTAATGGACTTTCCACACAGCGTAAGCAAGGAAGAAGATTCAGGCTGGGGAAACTGAGCAAAGGTCTGGAGAGAAACAAACCTGTGACATAGGTAGAGTAGTGTCTAGATTCATTTAAAGCACACCAGAAATTACGTAACCATGCAATATATTTATATGAGTTTAATTTGTGATGTGGGAAGTTAACTCATTTCCAGGCAGTATATGAAACAATATTTCCTTAGGGGTATTTTTTAATATAAATATTGTAGTATGTTAATAGCATAGAATTGAGGTTGATAACAAATTTCTAACTTGTGATTAGCATTGGTTCGTTCCTGGTGTTTGCTTTCACAAGTTCTGCCTCTGTTTTTAGAAGTAATAAAGCCACTGTTTCATTCCTGAATATCTAATAAATCCCTGCCTTTTTCTCTGGACAATGCCTGACCCCAACTTTTATCTCTGGTATAATGTCATCTCAAAGTTAAAGGGGCACATTAGGCATTTAAAGTTTTTTGGAATTGTTATGAATATATCATCTTTCTTACCATAAAGGTTGTAATATGTCTTAAATATAAATAGAAGTTTAGTAGGA